GCATACGATTACATACTTTTGGTGTGAATAGTTCATGTTCACAAAGAAATGTCATTCTCGCAAAGTACTCGCATCGAAATACCGCAACATCATCGAATACAACAGCAAGCACATGCTTGCTTAATTGACAATCCCAGTATGAAAATGTGAGTTGGGAGAGGTCTAGCCTGTCTCGGTGGCGCTCGTTGCCGAAGTGATAAGAGTTCGGCGAAGACGGGACTATCATTCTGATTGTGGGAAATGTGACGTCTACTAGTGCATCACATGAAACGTGTGGGATGAGGTCGAAATGAGGATAAAGATGAAAGCATCCACTCATTTGCCCACCAAAACGAGGCGAACTCGCCCGGTTCACGGAGCCAAAGGAAGTCTGGTGGTTTGACCTTGTTTACACAACTTGGTCATGTTGGTAGGAAGACTTAGAGGAACACAACCCAGTCCGTAGTCCATTGTCTGCACGATCATTTCCAGCTTCATACCGTGAGTCTTGCCATTCTTAACATCAAACCAGAACTATTCAATAAATGTTAAATGGAGCCGATCCTTTGACCAAACGTGTGCTAAACAATCGTGGTATCTCTCCTTCTGCCCATCCTATATCCTCATTTCACACTCTCACTATCACACTTTTTCAATTGCTTATTCACACGTGGTCCAGATCTTTCTACCAATATGACCAAGTTGCGAGAACAAGGTCAAACAACGTCTATACAACGAAAGGAGACTGCGATCATACAAACGATCACACCATCTTGATCTTCATACCTTCGCCTTGACATTTGTAGTTGGTTTATGCACCAACATGCGGAGGCGGCAGTCCATTGGAAGCCGGTAGAAGTGGCTCTCGATCTCGACGACCGTTCCGGGAAGAAGGCTCGTCTCAAGAATCTCGGTCTGGCAACAGCTGTTGTCGATTTACAAGAGCCTGCCTGTAAGGACATTCCGCGAGAGGCCAGTGGCGACATGTGAAGGCTAATTGGGTTGTGATATGGCACACAGCCACACTATCACATGTGTCCACGTGTGCGTTCACAATGGTATGTCTACCTCGAGTGCTTATGTCGAGTGTTGGGCCGAACAGACACCTGGTTACCGCGACAACTGGCCCTACGTCTGTCGACTGTTGTCCTCTTTGCAAGGCTGTCTCTCGGCTTCGCCCCTGCCTCCACGGCGTTTGCTCAAGTTGGCCAAAGTGGGCGCCAGAAAAACCGCTTCCCCCGTCCCATGTGCGTTCGGGCATGTGCTCACGCACAACTTGTTGGTGTGGGTGGTAGTCGTCGTGGGGCGGTTTGGTGAAGGAGTGAACCGGCGGAAACAGTCGTCCTGGAAGACGCGTATGACTGCTTCATGTCAGAACTCGACTCTTCCAAGATGGGCCTAGGTTACCGAGTGGGGCGCATGGGAAATTTATCTCAAAAGCGGTATCCAGGTCTCTGTGGCAAGTTGGGCATTTGGTGTGTTGCTCCTCAAGACCGAGCCATTGCGACCCTCATTCCTACTCCCCTCGGCTGCACCCCTCGACCCGGTACAGCGGGACAGGATGGCGTCGTTGTACCGTCTGAGTCCGAGTGAACGGCGAGCACGTAGTCTTGGCGAAAATGTTTGAGCAAGTCTGAGAAAGAAATGATTTACGCCCAAATTGCTGGTTCCTATTTCGAGCGCTCGGACGGAATGGCGGCCAATTGTGCAATAAAAAATCGCGGCAGACGGTCTCTCGACTGGGGCAAATCGGCGTCAAAACAATCTGCGGGTTCTCTGCCTGCCCCCTGGGCTGGTTGGAAACACTGTCAGTTGGGACAGTTGGGCTCGTCTGGGCGGTACGCAGCTCCTGCACCCTCGAGACTCGGCTTCTTCGCGTGGAGCAGGACTTTTGAGTTGGTCTCGGCGCTCAACTTCTAACTTTCACGAAGCGACGAGTCTTCTGGCTCCGATGAAGTGGCATTGTGGCGCCAGGCGTCTGTGAATCCGGACACAAATGAAACATGTCCTAGTGACGAGAAGTGACACAACTGTTCACTTCAACGGAGAACAGTTGACTCGAAGAGATTAGTGAATTGAGATGTATTCACTCTATTTCGTGTAAGGTGATAAGAATAACTTTTGGGAAAGCAAGGCTATGTGAAATGCAATGGAAAAGTCAGCTCAACTCATATCATTTTGGGACACTTCTACTACCAGTCCTTCATCACCTTACACGAAATAGGGTGAATACATCTCATCACACGGATTTACTGGTGGTCTCGAAAC